GACACATAAATCACTTCACCAAGTTTTATATTTAAAAATCAACAAACAACAAATAAAATGACTTTTTGTTTGCATAATCACTAAAACAGTAACATTACCAATGATGTTCGGATTTTAAATAACTTGACTGAAAACAGTTTAATAGCATGTTGAAATATCTAATGTAAATGTTCAAATAAAGCTTTTAAAAAGTTAAATAAAAAGGTAAACCTCACATTTCAAAATGTCAAAATGATAATTGATTAATAAAAGATTATATGTATTTTATCTGCTCCATAAATAATTCTAGATAACTTATCTGAATTGTTTAAATGTGTAGAATCCACATAAGCTTGTTTTTCATCAACCGGTTAAAATTGACAGCAGGGCATAAAAATTCTGTCCGTTTTTGTCCAGACAGAAACTGCACACAGACTGAATGTAAATATAGATCTCTGTAAATCCACTCTCTGACAGCAGGTGGCGCTAATGGAAAAGCTGAATTAGAGCTGTTTCCCGTAACCTCTGAGGACAAAGCAGTATTGCGATTAAGAAGACTTCCTTTAGGTATTACATGGAGCGACGATGAAAACAAAATGCCATCGAATCGTTTCTGAAGACAGTCAGAACCTTTAATTAATTCATTCATATATTTATTTGTATAATTCCCTTAGCACTCTTTTAACACCTCCCAGCTTTTCCGCCCTGTTTTCACTCAAAACGAAACTGCTCTGCTTGCTGTGCGCACGTGAGACTGTTACTTAAAACTGTGCTTTATGCTGGACAGTATTTATTTATCACGAGTTGTTCAAATCGCGGTAATCTAATACAGTTTTAATTAAAAAATGAAACGGTAATACTAACCATGGGGAATTTTATCATGATTTATCGTCAAACCGGTAATCGTAACATCCCTAGTACCCTCTAACTGTATTTTCATTCATGCATTAGGCAAATGCTTTTATCTTAAGAAACATGCACTACGTTGAAGGAGATAATTTTTATCAGTTCATGCATGTGAATTTTGCTGGGAATCGAATACATGATCTTGGAGTTGCGAGCACCATGCTCTACTGTTTGAGTTTCAGGAAAGCCCACAGAAAAAGTGTATTTAAAATATTATAAAATAATAATTGAATTTTTTTTTTTAATTTTCAAAAGTTGTGAAAAAGAATAATAAAAAAAAAAAAGTTATATTGTAATGTACTGTGAGAAGTATTAATGCTGAAGGTTTACTGTTGTTACCTGATTTTTTTGTTTTTCATAGTGTGATTTTTGGTGAATTGTATTGAATTCAATTAGGGGCAATTTGACCCACATCTAGGGCGGGGCGATATGGCCAAAAGTGTTATCACATTATTATTTTTCATATAATACATTATTGATATTTATCTATTAATATCCATATATATATATATATATATATATATATATACATTATTGGGGAAGAAAATGCTTTCCACATGTTTGTTAGACCTTGAGAATAAATGTAAACATAACTTATTTGTTCACAATTAAACTCCACAGAGTAGCTTCCTTTTAATTTAGGGAATGAAATCCATTTTATTTTTCTCTAAATTCTGTGATTTCTACTTTCTGTGTTTTCTGAGATTTAATTTGAATTAATAAAACTTTAACAATTTAATCGATCTTTTGAAATGTAATCAAATGAAAATATAGCGATTTTTCTGCTTATTAGCAACATGCACTGACCGGCTTTTGTTGGCGTTTTGTTTTGGCGTTTATTTCTGCTGTGTGATCGGCTGTTAGATTAATCCATGTCAATTAAAAATGTCCAGAGCTTATCATCGTTGTTGAAATAAATTTGATTGTGATCTCGATTGTACCCAGAATTTGAACCTAATACCCTGTACATGGGATAAACACAAGACTGGACTCTGGGAAACCAGAGGTTGTTGTTGTTATTAGTCAGGCCAGCACTGGCCTACATTGCACATGTATGCGCTGGTACAGTGCTTAACCCTCAGGAAGCTAATATTCACATATCGATTAGGCTGAGTTTTGTATCATGATGAGCACAGTGTTTAATTTTTTATTTATTTTTTTGCATCAAATGCATTTCATTATTTTAATTTCATTACCACAGGTCAGACCTTCATTTGTAATTCCTGTACAGATTAAACCACTTCAAAATTCAAGGAAGATTCAAAAGATTCATTTCGGGCCAATCTAGGCATCCAGCTCAATGTTTTTGTTGCTTCACTCTGCATTGCTCTTATGAGAGCCCCTCTATGATAAGTTTGCTTTGTTCCGCCACAGATCAAGATCTATAAAGAGGTCTGTTCTGCAGAGATGAACCTAATGCTCATTGACGTGCGGTACTCTTGTCCTAATAGGCCAGACCGGCCTCTCCAGCCCCCCGAGGCCTAAAGTAATTGATCCTGATATCGTTAGCTCCATGCTAATCCATCATTGAACAGCTCATTTACAGTAGAGCCACTGTATTCTCTCTCCTCTCACACCCTCAAAAGTAGAGCAGTCCACAACAGCTGTCTATTTCCTTGCACAATGCAGTTCATTCCTGCAGAACTGTCCATTTCCGTCACTGCTCGCCAGACTAACTTGAGGCTTTATTATGGGGAAGATCAAAAAATGGAAGCTTCCCTCGGTTTCACACATGGCCACCGTGCGGGGCCAGTCGCGGTCCCGGCAAAAGAGTGTCGAGGGTCTGTGCGCCAGCACTCTTTTAGGAGTCCTGCATACTAGAACCTGGTTACTGGATGCCCAGTTGGTGTATCTGCTGGAACGGACTCAAGCAGCACCCACTCCTCCTCCTCGTGCTCAATCGCTCTGCTCTTTCTCCTCTGCAGATGGCGGGAACGAGGAGACCATAGACCTGCAGAGCGCCAGCTTGGATCCCCTTCACAACTTCACTGGCCAAGGTAAGCTCTGATTGCAATATCTGTGCGTAAGGTACAACTTAGCCTAGTTATAACTTATGCACTGCTAAATATATTTTCCTTGCACCATCGAAACATAACCCTACTAAATATTTAAGACTCCGACCAGAGGTAATGTTTGGAATAAAATGGCATTTTGATTGATTAAATTACAACAATAAGCCTTTACCTGACGAACTTCAGTACTTTACACATACACACTACCGGCCACCAGTTTGGAACATTTGTACATAGTGCTCTTAAATTTGGTTGTCAATTCACCTTTTGGTGGTTAATCCTGTTCTGTACACACACACTTCAGTAAGTTACGGGACAACCATATTCTACAACCGAATTGACTCCTGAAAAGTTCAGGTAGTGACAACCGCATTTACAGTTCTGTGCAAACTGGACAACTAGTTGTTAATGTATTGGAGTTGCGATGCAAGAAATCACAGGGAACAAGGTATGTCTTGACTCATTAGTGTTGCCAGATCTCGCTATAAAAAACAACAACAGATAAGAACAAGCCCATAATAAACTCAAATCCAAATGGGATATCTTGGAAATGAGCTACATTACAAAATTTTGCGAACTGCACCTGCCTACTTTATTAATTCCATAAATCGGATTGTTTTATGAGCCAAGCCGAAAGGTGGTTAATAAGCATTGCTTATAATAAATGGACATGGCAGCCCTTCAAGAGCGGGCTCTGCAAAGTAGCCTTCAAAACACAAACAAAAATGATGGCTCTGTCGAAAGAGGTTTAGATAAAATTGCCGACCAAACAAGTTTTTGGTTGCTGTAATATTACTATTACAGCAATTTAAAATAGTGAATTCCAAACACGAAAGACAGCACATTTTTTCTAAGGTTACCATGGTGTCAGTCATCGCAATTTCGAGAGTGAGTACTGTTCCCGTACACACACAAAATTTTGAGAATTCACTCCTTTATTTAAATGCAGTTGTCACTCCTGAAACTTTACAGTGTGTGCGTGGCCAACAGCATATGTTTTTATGCATTTTATGTAAGTAGTCTGTTATCTGTCATAAAAATCAGCATTTTTTGGCCATATAATAAGATCAACAACGTTACCAAATTGCATATTTTTGCTCAGTTTATGTGTTTTTTTCAGACTATTTTCATGTGTCAGGCTTTACAGGGTTAAACAGATCTTAATACCTGCCCTACTGTAACATGTTTCGTGAATTTTCGCTCAGGTCCCATTAACGACATACTTTCTTTATCTCATGTGTCCTCCAATCCTGTAGGTGGCAGTATAGACAGTGACTGTGCCTTTGAGGGGGACTATGCTGTGCCTCCGCTTTCCATGGCTGAGGGGCTGCAGCACATCCGTATGATGGAGGGAGTGTCCCGATCTCTGCCCTCATCGCCTCTGCTCACCCACCAGACCTCCAGCTCAATACCACCGTCCGTCAGGAAGGTCTTCGGCACAGCCACAGGTACTGAACTCTCTCAGTCATGATGCCACAATTCCTAATGCCAGCATAGAGGCGTACCATCACTTTCCTGAAATGTTCAGGAAGTTTTTATTTATAGTAATGTCATGTAAAAGACATGGATACTCTTTACAATGCTGCAGAGCTAGTATATAGAGTATAAACAATGTGTTTTCTTGTTTTGTTCATTTTTAATTTAATGTTTTATTCTTTTCTTATTTTTATTTTATTTATTATTTTATTTGACATTTTATTTTTTTATATTTAATTTTCATATTTCTTTTTTTAATTTAAATAATTTTTTATTATTTTAAAAATTGTAATTATTTTAATATTTTAAATGATTTCGTTCATTATTTAATACATTTCAAAGAACATTCAAAACCTATCAATCTTCTTCTGAAATCTTTTGCTTGAGAAGTTGTATTAGTTCATTATTTGTTTACATTTTTGCTATATAATACAAAATATTATGCATTTTATAAATGTGCGCATTGGGTGTCCAAATACTTGTAAGGCCCCTGTAGTTAGTGTTGGATGTGTCCACTAGGGTGTACCAGCCTCATATTCCTGTTAAAGATTGAACAGATACATGTTAAAGCATCAGAATGTCATTTTCATCAATGTGTGTATTTTGTGTGTTAGTTTCCAATTATTTATCAGATATGAAAGTGTCTGAATTTTGGGTTGGACAAAAAAGAGAGTTGTCATCATTATACCATGACTCTTACAATCTTATCAAGGAGAGCATGTTTCATCTTTCATCTGTTGTGAAATCAAGTGCATTGTGGGAGTTTTGCTGAAAAGGACAGCGGTGTTGTTGATATGAGTCACTCAGTGGTTCTGCTTTTGCTCTTTGTGATGTTAATGTCTCTTACTGCTCTGATTCAAGGTTCAGTTTCATCCAGATTTGATGATTCGTTTCAGAGTTTGGACTTTGTGCTTTATAGTTTACAGAAAACAAAATGGCAGCAGCGTTATTCATATAAAGAGAGGGGAAAAAGAGAAAAATAGTGCTCTCATGCCCGAGCCAACAAACCATAATATATTTTAATAACCTTAAGAGTTTAATTCCAGAAAGTGATCTTAAAGATGAATGGTTAGAGAGTCATCTAAACCTTGTTTAGGAGCAGCAGAAAAGTAGTTTTTAGCAATTTGGAGGTCTTCTATATTCGCGTCCAGCATTAATTGCAGTGTGTTTTTGCCAGCTGATTTGTAATTCTCCAGTGTAAGCAGTGTTGTAGAGCTTCTCATCTCTGCTAATGAAAGCCAGGCCTCTTTATGAGCGCTGTTTCATCCCGTTTTTCATACATTTTATGCATATTCATGAGAACCTACTAAAGTGTTGCTTTTGCATTTGAGAACTGTCCTGTTATAATGGAGGGGAAACATAGAACGGACTAAGAATTAAACAATTCACTGCATTTATATGTTCAGAAAGACTGATGAAAAATGATGTTATAAAATGAATGATCTTTTATATACAAGGATAGATTTGGATCTGTTCCACTTTTTCAAATGGTTCCAAGACTTTGTAATGGAAGATGGCTATTTATATATATATATATATATATATATACTTATTTATTTCTACTTTATTACTCTAAGATAATATTTCATATTTTTGACCGATGTTATTTTTCCCTTTAATTCCATCCATTCACTTCCTGGCAGCTTTCCCCACAGTTTTTTTTCCTGGGCAACAGAGGCAATAGCGATTGGAAATATTCAATACATTTACATTTTTGTACACATATTCAATGTGTGTCTTTGCAAATGTATCCACTTTCCCCTATAAGCCATTACAGTATATGAGTTATATGTTCATGCAGTATCTTTTGCTGCATTAGCTTTAGTCATAGTTTAGGTCTGCCACTAACTATGTATACATCTTAGGTCAGACGCATACAAACACAGATGAGCAGATGCTTGTTGTACCAACTTAATTTGTGTTCCTGCAGTACTGTGGCACTAACAAACCTCAGTTCTCAGGAGGCAATAGATTTCACTGCAAATGTTTGTACCATTAAACACAATGTAGTATTATTCAAGTAACTGGCTATAAAATATCAGTTTAACTAGCTTTAACTTACCAAGAAAGATTGCTCTGCCCTAAACGAGAAGAAAACAAGGCAGTTTACTGCTATGTCAGCTATAGCGACTCTGAGAGAATGTAGGCTCACTGGATAAATCTACATACATTTCAGCAAAACTCAAAAAAAAACCTGTACAGTACACTACAGTACAATACAGTTCACTGCAATTTCCACTTCAAAACACCAACAAATTTTATTCCCTTTTACACAAATTATTATTAGAGGAGCAGATTATTGATTAATAAAAACTAGGGGTGTAACGGTACACACAAGTCACGGTTCAGTACGTACCTCGGTTTTGGGGTCACGGTTCGATACGAGTTCAGTAAAACAGGAAATGTAGATTTTCATTTATTTTGAACAGACAGTAGTGCTACATACATGTAGCATGAGCAGTTGTTTTGATTTGAATTAGATTGTATAATTTCAAGATTTAATTTAAAGCAAAAACAGAATGGTCTGACGTTAGATTTGTGACATTATGCTACATAAGACACCTGCACAAAACAAAAACAGCAGACGGACTGAATTAAAATGCAAATTCACTCTCTGACAGCAGGAGGCGCTTATGGAACAGCAACGATACAGAGTTTCGTGGTTACCACTGTAAACAAAGCAGCTGCACTTATAGACGTTACTTTAATATGCATTATATTGAGTATTTTCTCCTCTTTACAGACTTCATAAAAATTCCACACAAATTATATATTGGAAAATGATTGCAATGCAGCATCTCTAGAGCCCGAAACTTTCCCACACCGCTGATTAAATATTCTTCATCTGACCGAGTGAACCGAACCGTGAATACATGTAACGTTACAGCCCTAATAAAGAGTTATTTTCGCACGATTCTTTAATATATGAACTCAAAACACTTTTACCATAGTGCATGATTTGTAAACTAATACTTTTTCACATTTTCTTCACATGTCCAGCTCCATATTTTTGGCTTTTTTGATTTAGTAAACTTGCTTGGTTGCGCACCCGGTACAGCATTGCACTTGTAATGTGAAGTGCCCGGGTACAAGTCCCATGAAACACAATAAAATCCCATGGGTGCTTCAGCAATTGTATAATCTTTTATTAACACTTTCGGTTAGTTTTAGGGTTGGGTTCAGTGTAGATGTTAAGTTATTTTTAAACAAGAAGAGCATGAACCTTTTAGCATCATTCACCAGAAATGTCATTTCTGAGCTGCCGTGATACGTGCAACCAAAGTAATAAAACATTGCCAGATTCACATTGGCCTGTTTCACTTTTAGCACCACTCACTGGACATTTCATGTTGAAAGTGTTGTGAAACGTACAAGAAACAACATAATGTTATTTTGCAGAAATGCTGCACAGGCACGTTTTTCCAGTGAACCTGACTTGAATACTAAATGCAATGAAGCTTGCATAACAAGAAATGTTGCATATATTTTGGACCTGTTTAAATACAACCAAATACTCGGGTAGCACTAGCACACATGCTCTGACACATTGAGTTGTGGTGCTCATGTGGGAAATGTGGTTTTGAGTCCAGCTCGCAGCTTTCTCTAATCCGGTTCCCCCTTTTCTCCCCTCATAATCTCATATCTGCTACCGTATCAATAAAAGTGACCCCTCCCATCCTCTTCGCTCTCCTCTTTCTTTTGTTCTCCTTCTTTATCTGCCTCATTCCATTTGTCAGGCGATTTCCTACTGGTAAAGAAAAGGAGAAAATGGCAGATTGTATCCATCTCTTCACCTTCACATTTGAACAAAGCCCAGCAAGAGAGCAGTGACCTTTTTAACAGATCAATCACATCCTGATTTAAGCCTCCCGGGGCGAGGCGGGGGGTCCGACGCGTCCCTCCTCCATCAGTTCAGCCTCAGCGAGTAGTGAAGGTGCGCAGACGCCTCCCCTGAACAACCAACAGTTCTTGATTGAAAATGCCACGAGGCCTTTGTTTTTGCGGATTGAATTCTGTTTCTCTCAGGTGCATAGCTGCGACGTCAATTAACTTCTGTTGAAGCTTGCAGGGAGGCACTTAATTCACCTCTGAGCATAACAAAGTCAGATATATAGCACCCCAATGTGGCTTAGCTGATTTATTGAAGATTTCATAAAGCTGTATGTGTGGTCTGTTGAGACCGCTTTGTCATTTTGTACTGCGGTAAAGAAATAAGGGCCGGAGTGCATTTGAGAGACAACTTGTTGATTCCTCAAAATGCATTTAAATGTCAAAATTATGAATGTGGGTAATGGGATAGATGTCATACTCTTGAGATTCTTTTTAAAATAAATAATAAGTACCAAATAAAATGTGTAAGAATATAACATTTACTCCAATATTCCATAATGCTGTAACATGCAGCTTTGAAATGTTTTTTTATTTTTTATTATTACTTGAGCCAGAGGTACTTTTGTCGATTTCATTCTGATTTAAAACCTTCTGATTTAATTCAATTGCAGTTTCGATTTGATCTGAAAGGATTCTGACTCACTGGGTAGGAAATTTTTTCTCTGCTAATGCTATAAATTATACCGAATTTCAGATGGGTAACTCATCTTTTTGAGCTTATAAGAGTCACTTTTTTTGGGAATTGGGCTACACGGTCATACTGTATTTTGTGATTCACTGAAAAGAATCAGCTCATAGAAGTCATCAAAAATTGCATAATATGTTTTTGATTCACAGGAAAGAAGCAACTCATAAGAGTCATCAAAAATCAGACTGCACTGATTGTACTGTATATTTTTGAATCACTCAAAAGAACCGACTCAGAGTCATTTGTTTGTCAATTTGGCTGCACTGGATTCATTGTATATTTGTTTTTATTGGATAGCACTCAGTACAGACTGAACTCACATTCATAACACAGATAAAATATGAATATATAGCATTTATTTTCCTAACTTTGCATGATATATTGTCTGTTGCA